TGGCGTAACGACTTCCCCACTGTCTCCAGGATATGCTCAGCGAAATTGAATTCTCCGTGAAGATGCGGAGTACCCGCGGTTAGACGGAAAGACCCCGTGCACCTTTACTGCAGCTTCAGAGTGGCATTAGGAAATTACTGTGTAGAATAGGTGGGAGGCTTTGAAACTCGGGCGCCAGTCCGAATGGAGCCAACCTGTGAAATACCACCCTGTGATTTTCTGATGTCTAACCAGGCACCGTTAGCCGGTGTTGGGACCCTCTGTGGCGGGTAGTTTGACTGGGGCGGTCGCCTCCTAAAGAGTAACGGAGGCGCGCGATGGTAGGCTCAGGACGGTTGGAAACCGTCTGCAAGAGTGCAATGGCATAAGCCTGCCTGACTGCGAGACTGACGAGTCGAGCAGAGACGAAAGTCGGTCATAGTGATCCGGTGGTCCCTCGTGGAAGGGCCATCGCTCAACGGATAAAAGGTACGCCGGGGATAACAGGCTGATGATTCCCAAGAGCTCATATCGACGGAATCGTTTGGCACCTCGATGTCGGCTCATCACATCCTGGGGCTGGAGCAGGTCCCAAGGGTTTGGCTGTTCGCCAATTAAAGTGGTACGTGAGCTGGGTTCAGAACGTCGCGAGACAGTTTGGTCCCTATCTGCCGTGGGCGTCGATTGTTGAAAGGAGTTGCCCCTAGTACGAGAGGACCGGGGTGAACATACCTCTGGTGTACCTGTCATCCTGCCAAGGGTGCCGCAGGGTAGCTATGTATGGACGGGATAACCGCTGAAAGCATCTAAGCGGGAAGCCTCCCTTGAGATAAGCAATCTTCGAACCGTCATAGACCATGACGTTGATAGGCCGGGTGTGGAAGCGCAGTAATGCGTGTAGCTAACCGGTCCTAATAGTTCTTTTCGCGCTTGTAGGATCCATACCATCAACGACAGCCCTGTTCCGATACAGGTTCACCTGTCCGCGATAAGGAGGAAATCTCCAAAGCCGGATAAGCCCAAAAGCTTGGGCAGCATCGATTTATACCCTGACCGCCCGCTCTATTGCTTGGTGGCTATAGCGTCCGTGACCCACCCGATCCCATCTCGAACTCGGCCGTGAAACCGGACAGCGCCGATGGTACTAGTGCTCAAGCACTGGAAGAGTAGGTCGTCGCCAGGCATTACAGCCGGCGGTCAAGGCACAAACCCATTCACATGTCTCAAAGCCGCTGCCGGGATACCCCGAGCGGCGGCTTTTTCGTCTCCGGACATCGCGTCCAAAGGCGATACATACGGTACCGCGGGGTGGAGCAGTCCGGTAGCTCGTCAGGCTCATAACCTGAAGGTCGTTGGTTCAAATCCAACCCCCGCAACCATACAAAACTACCATACCACCCCCACAACAAATAACCTCATCCCAGCCGTTCGAGTTGCGAGTTGCGCCCATAATTCGGGCGGTTCCGCGTGGGGGTGGGGTCCTGTAAAGCGGCAGGCTCCAACCTGTAGATCGTGCCGCGGCTGACGGGTCGATCCGGATCAGGTCAGGACGCCCTTGCCGTTCACCAGATCGGCCTTCGCTGCGAGCGCATCGTAAACGAAATCGGCGACGGCCCGAATTCGCGGCGTATGCCTCAGGTCCGGATGCGCAAGCACCCAGATGTCCTGTTGCCGGACTGGCTTCTCTTGAGTCAGCCTCACCAGATTCGGCTCCGGGTCGGCCATGAAACATGCCCCCCGGCCCAGGCCAAGGCCTAGGCACAAGGCGCGGTGGCGCGCCGTGATGTCGTCGATCCGCAGCCCGATGGGCGCGTGGGGGAAAGGGGAGCTATCCAGCCAGTCGGGCCACATCCCTGGATCGAGGGGCGCGATCCATTGCAGCGCTTCCTGCGGGGTTCGTTCCAGATAAGTGCGGTCCGCGTAGTACGTGACGTGAAGCGC